CTGTGTCAGGTTATATTCATATACCATCTCCAATTAAAGGGGCTCATAGCCCCTCAATAATTTTTTTAGTTTTAAATTTATACTTTAAATTTAAGGAAAACTAATGAAAGAGCTTGAAAACTTTGAATTTTAATGATAAGGACAAAATAAAGGTTAAAGTGAATAGTACTAGGTTTGACTTTTTAGTGTAAAAATGTGGTTTTTTGTTAAAGTGAACAGTACAGTGAGCTTTTTGTTAAAACTCCCTTAAATTTATTGGTTAATTTAATTAAGCTACATTTGGATGTTTTCAAATCTAACCGTTGAATTTAAATAAATTACTGTAACTAAAGAGTTGGCCTAAGTTGTATCTTTTGCCAAGTTGGTTGGTTGCATTGCATGCTTCATTTCTACATACATGTCCTGATCATGTGTTTTTTTTTTTCATTTCAAATAATTAACTATATTGTTCTCTGCTAATATATTTCGAGATAGTTCTAAAAGAAAAATTAATTTTGGTCCTCGTGGTTTCAATTTTAGTTGTTGCAAGTCTAGTAGACGCTTGTGTCACCCATTTAATAAATACTTAATACATTTTTAAAAAGTGTACCATCCGCTTGACTTTGTATAAGGAGTGTCATATAATTAGTGTAATGAAATTCTTGTATCTGCCATCCACACACATATTTTTACCTTCCACTTATTTTTTGTTAATTTCTGACTTTTGATATTCTTCTATTCATTCGATTCGATGACCTAAAATTGAGAGAAATATGTGAGAGGTAAAAAAGGGTATGGAAGCACCACCCTTCTTGCATGTATCCAATACGCGTCATCTATGAATGATGTACAGATGACCTGGCGTATCCGATACTTCAATAATTTCTCTTGTCATTGAGCATTTTCCCACTACCATAAAATAGAGGGCAACTAATATAGAATGAGTCCACCGTCATATAGCGTCTTGATCCAATAATATGTTGTCATATGGAGAAAAATTTATATATTATTAAACAAAGAACGTCAAGCGACAGTAAATCCATTTCATATAAATTATTCTCCCAAAAAATAAACATTAAAACACATATCACAGGCCACGTATACTTACCCTTTCCCATCAACACATTGTCTTTTTTTTAATCTTTCATTTTATGCGCACAATTGTCAAATTATAATTAGTTTTACCAACCCATATTTCCCTCGTTTTTGGCAACCCTAACGGAATATACCAGAATTGGTAGTTTGCTAATGTGTTCGATCACATTCAAACAACCAAAACCAGACACTTCTTATCCCCTTCACAATCCTCCAAATGGTAGATATCCTGTGGGAAAATTCTATTTAAACCCAATTATTCTGTTTTCAAAACCAACTTAACATTTTTGTCCTGTGAAATCTCTTATACCCTCCCTCCCCATATCCGACGACCATGGCCACCAACAAAACAGCTGATTATGCTGCATAGTCAGAGCTTCTAGGCTCAGAAAACTGGGACGGCCTCTTGGACCCTCTAGACCTCAATCTCCGAACCCTCATCCTCCGCTCCGGCAACTTCTGCCAGGCCACCTACGACGCCTTCAACAACGACCAAAATTCCAAGTACTGCGGCTCCAGCCGCTACGGAGAGCACTCCTTCTTCGATAAGGTCATGCTCCAAGACGCTGCCAACTACCAAGCCTCTTGCTTCCTCTAAGCCAGCGCGCAAGTCAGCGTCCCCGAAGCCTTGCTTCTCCACCCTCTGTCACCCGACTCGTGGGACCACGAGTGTAACTGGATTGGCTACATCGCCGTCACTTCCGACCAAGTCAGCCAAGCCATTGGACGGCGTGAAATCTACGTCGTATGGCGTGGCACGACCTGAAACTACGAATGGGTTGATGTGTTAGGAGATAAGCTCGAGTCCGCGGGGTCCCTCCCTACTGGCTACTGCGGCCTGATAGCAGTGACGCAGGCAAAGAAAACGAGGAAGTGCCCAAAGTAATGAGGGGTTGGCTTTCTATGTACATTTCCGACAACCCCAAATCGCCATTCACGAAATTAAGCGCCAGAGACCAACTTCGGTCGAATAAAATCAACGAGCTCCAGGAAAAATACAAGAATGAAAACCTTAGCATAACCCTCACCGGCCACAGCCTCGGTGCAAGTCTCTAGCAACTTTGAGCGCATTCGATCTGGTGGAAAATGGGGTTTCTGATATCCCAGTTGCTGCTTTCATATTCCAGAGTCCACAAGTCGGAAACAAAGCATTCAAATCAAGGATCGAGAGGTACCCAAATCTGAAGATTCTGCACACAACGAACACCATCGATCTCGTACCTCCTTACCCAAGTGGGCTACCGGGGTACGTGGACGTTGGGATGCAGCTGGTGATAGATTCGAGGAAGTCTCCGTTCTTGAAGGAATCGAAGAATGTGCGGCACTGGCATAACTTGGAGGGGGTGCTGCATGTGGTGGCGGGCTGGAATGGGGAGGAGCGGGAGAGAGTTTGCGCAGAAGGTGAAGAGGAGCGTGGCGTTGGTGAACAAGTCAAGTGATTTTCTCAAGGACCAGTGTCATGTGCCGGAGAGTTGGTGGGTGGAGAATAACAAAGGATGGTGCTTGATGAGAACAGCGGAGAGTGGGTGTTGGCTCCGCCGTCAGATGAGGACTTACCAGTGAGTTACTGGTTTGTTTTCTTATTGCTTTTTACATTACGAATAAAAATTAAATAAAGGGACCCAAAAATTACGTATAATAATAAAAATAAAAATAAAAATAATACGAATAAAAAACAATAATAATTACATAGTGTAGAGTTCTTTCTCATTTATTCTAAGAAAATAATTACGTATAAAAAATAAAAGTAGAAAAGAAACAAGAAAAATAAGTTTATGTTGCAATCCTAATTTAGTTAGAAATGTGATTATATAAATCTTATTGGATTCCGTAGTATTTTTTGGACAGTGTCATATTTCATTTGTATTACTTAGTTACCTATTACTGTAAATAAATACACAATAAGGTGAGATTAGATAGACCTCATAATTCACCATTTTTTTTCTTCTCTTTGCCGCTGCACCCTCTCTTTTCCTCTCTATAATTCTTTGTTAAATAGGCCTCCAACAGTTTAAGTATATCCGAATGTGAAAAGCCGGATATTGAACTGATTCTTGTCGGAACAACTCTCCCTACTCCCGACGACATCCTTAACTGGCTACTGGGCAAGTCTAGTTACTTCTGATTGTGTAACGATTGACAGTGGCCAATAGGTGAATCTCAAATATGTTTTTCTTAGCGTTCAATTTACTTGCTCCGAGCTGCTGAATGCTTTAACTGTGCTGAAACTTTCAGCCCTACTTCGTGTACATGTTTGATGAATCGAGGATCAAACAGTTTGATGACACGTAAGGAACCGAAAGGCGAAGTACTAACATTTAAACAACATGACAGATGCCTTTTTATTTGTTCAGGCTCAGTTTGGTAAAGGTTCAAGAGAAATTAGCTGTGAGATGGAATTTGGCATGGAGATTTTGGTGCTTGAGATCAAATTGATTTGATGGGAAAAGAGGTGGAGGGGTGGAGGATGACTTACGTTGGTTGGGGTTGGGGCAAGGGGAGTGGAGAGTAGGGGTAAAACTTAAAGTGGAGAGTAGAGGTAAAACTTAGGTTGTGTCAACCTGAATGCGTTCATGCCTAATCAGATTTCAAACTTGACCAAGTGGGTTATAATGAAATAAAAAGCCCACCCATGTCAATCCAAACTCAACCCGATTTTTATTTTGAATTCTTTCAAGCACATATTATTATTACTCATCCTACTTCGTATTATATAAGGACAATACAAGTTTAAGGATGAATGTAATTGAAGTTTGTTGTTGGTCTTTATTTGAACAATAAATGATATAATGTTGCTTTTACGTTTCTTTTGGTTGAAACTTTGGTATTCTCTTGTAATTTTTCAACTTTGCATGGTTGAAATATTAAAAGTCGTCCCACGGTTGAAACTTTGGTTTAAATTTTTGTGTAGATAGTGATAAGCAAAATTGCATTTTTATACATTAATGGTACAAAATTTCAATAAGGTTGGACAAACTCGAACCTAACTCATATAAGTCCCCAAACCCAATTTACACACAAACTTGGATAAACCTGCCTGAACCCGAACTCAAATTGTTAATGTTGGGTTAAGGTTGGGTTAACCATGACCTGCTTGATTTGCACCCTTAGACGAGAGAGAGAGAGAGAGAGAGAGAGAGAGAGAGAGAGAGTCCAAATGTCTAATGGCTTAATATAATTGAACAAAATTTTAAGGATATTTTTGTCCAGTTATAAATTTCATTTTAGTGGGCCAAACAAATTGCTTTCAAATCTAGGTTAGAATGGCTTATCAAAATCAGTTTTTTTTTACTACCAAATTTTGAGAGTTTTACCAACTATCTTAAGAGTCGTTTGATAATAATTTATTTTCAGTTTTTTTATTTTTTTGAAAATTAAATGTTATTTGATAATTATTAACTACTTTGAGTTAAAAAAGAAACTTAAAACTGAAAATCAAAAAGTGAAAACTAAGTGTCAAATTTTGAAAACTCAAAAATATAGTTTTCAATTTTTTGAAAATTAAAAATAGTTACCAGATAAAATTTCAATATTTAATTTAAAAAAAAAAGATGAAAAAAAAAACCGAAATAGTTGTCAAATGACTCCTTAGAGAGCTCAAAACATAAGCTAGAATCTAGAGCTAAAAGCTCTACCAAATGGGTACCTAGATTCACATCTCTCAAGTTTTATCGTGTATTGAAAAATAGTGTAAAATCTTATGAGATTTCAAAACCGTTTATATTAAACTTACATTTGTACATATATATTTAGAAAGTAATGATAATATCATTTGTTAAAAAAACAAAAAATTCAAATTTTGAGAATAAAAACTTCACAACTAACTTATTATTCACTAAATATATCGTTATATAAAAATAAATAAATTAAAAAAGCAAAGTGCAATTTACCATTTTTTTTTATTTTTGGGCAGTACTTCCTAGAGCAAACTGAATGCACATAATATTTCTGAGGAAAACGCTGCGTTGCCTTAAACCTCGTAAACCCCTTTCTCATGGCCGCCCTGAAGCTCTTCCTCTCATCCGCTCGCCGTCACTGCCTCTTCCAACCTCACTCCCGTCTCCACCCGCCTCCATTTCTAAGCTATCACAGATCCCTAAGCTCCGAATCCGACCCAAACCCGGATCAGAACCCTCCGCAACCTCCTAGACGCCAACCAGTGCCGGTCGAACCCGTTTCATACACTCTCAAACCCAAGGAGCAATCCCTACCTGAACCAGATGCGACTCCCCAAGCAGCACAAACATCACCGCCGCCGCCACAAAGCTCCAGTGACTCGCTCAACCCATCGAGTCAGGACACTCGCGTCACCTGGACCCGTGAAGAGGCGCGTTTCATCAGGGACGTGCCATCTATATCTCCGGTATCGTACCCGGTGAAAGTTGCTCCGTTACCGGAAGATCGGGTCGCGGAGGAGAGCGGAGGTGGCGAAGACGGAGCTGGAAGGGATGTGGATGGCGTGAAGGAGTTGGACAGAGAGAAGCGGAGGATCGAGGCCGATGGTCGGATGAGAAGGAGGCTTTTTAGGGTTCCTGAGGAGGAGGTGGCAGTTCCTTTTCCCGCGTTGATTAAGGTTGAGAAGAAGGAGAGCAAGCCCATTCTCGATGTCATGGACGCAATTCGCCAAGTCAAGGTCAGTGTAACGTTTATACGCTTGTTTGGTTGCTGAGAAAATCTGGGAAAGTTAGAGGAATGGAAATTTTCCTTTTCTTGTTAGATAATTTTGGATGAGATACCAAATGGCTTCTACTTAATAGAACTAAATTTGACTTTTTTCTCTGTTTCGATTTTGTTTCTGGAGAGCGGAGTTATTAATTAACAAAATGAAGTTCTCCTTTCTTAATTTGTTTTACGAACTTTGATTGTGATCGAGTATTAAGACTAAAGTTAGGCAGGAACATCTCGAGATCATGACTGTTTTTCCCGTGCATATTGCGCAAACGGATGTTCTTGCTCTCTCAATACGGTTGGATTACATGAGTTGGGGGATATTGTTCCCTTTAAACTTTTATGTTGTTAATGTTTACTTAGAAGTGTTTTGCTTTATTTCGATGTACTTCTCATTTCTAATCTCTTCTTCTCGTGTTCTAGTTGTTTTACAGGCTAATGCCAAGTGCAATTTTGATGAAACTGTTGAAGCTCATGTACAATTGGGTATTGATGCGAAGCGAAATGTAATATGTCAACTCATCTGAGTAAAATCGTCTCTTATCTCAAGCATATGTTTTGTGTGTCAAAATAGATATTGATTTTTTCTTTAGCTATGCGAATATATAAGATCAAGTCCTGAGTTTAGATTTGCAATTCATTTCACGATCCAACAGCGTCTAAATTTAAATGATTGCCCACATGTGGTTACAGCTAGTCGTGTACTTTTTGAATAAGGTGAACTCACATGTATGTGAGTGCGTGTGAGATGGCTATATGCAGAATTGTTGAAACACTTCAAATTTGAAGGAATGACGTAAAACAAACATTAGTAAATGTTCATAAAGGTTGGACCCAAGATGGTTCAGTGGCATTTCAAGATTTCAATCAACTCCATGTTTTAGACTCCAGATGTATAGTTCCTTGAAAAAAGTTATTATGCGACTAAGCTGTAACCGTTGTTCATAAGTTCCTTGTATTTGTTGTTTGAATGATCAATGCAGATCTTCTATGCACCCAAATATGGTTAGCCTTGACTGAGAAATATTGGCTCATTTTCTGACTACTTTTTGAGCATATTGTTGTGCTCATTTTAGTGTATCAATTGTATATTTTCAGTAAGAGTTGTATGGATTGCTTCTCGAAAGAGTGATAAAGAATATATTGTTTCTGCTTTTTACTTTATGCTTCATATTTCTTATTGCACCATTATATTTAATGTTCCAAACTCCTGTTTGAAAGATTCAATTTACATGGACTACCTGATTGAAGTGCAGGCAGTTCGTGGTAACATGACTTTGCCGCATGGTAGTGGGAAGGTAGTTATCTTTACTTTGCTAAGTCATGTCTCATCAATTTAAAATCTAGTTGGTTACTGTATGACACTGTCATTCTTCAGGTTGTCAGGGTTGCTTTCTTTGCTGAAGGCTCAGATGCAGAAGAAGCTAGAGCTGCAGGAGCAGATATTGTTGGCGGTGTTGAACTGGTGGAGGAAATTGCAAGTAATGAGCTAACCCTTTGTTGCTACTAAATAATATGCTGAAAAGAGAAACTCCTGTCCACTAGATATACTATGCAATGATAGTGCCATTTCAATTATTTGAGTTTTGGTTTTGCAATTTATTTAATTTTTTTTTTATTATTGTAAATGTGTTTATGTGCATCTTACATTGCTTGAGTTCAAAGAAGTAATCAAACAATTTATGATCTGACCTTGTATCATGCAGGCAGTCATAAGCTCAATGTTGACAAGTGTTTTGCAACAAATGAAATGATTATGCGTCTGGCAAAGGTTTTTGAGTTGTAATTTTTTACTTGCAGGATTATCATTTGTTTGCTTCATTAATTGAAAGTGAATGTTTAATATTTAACAGATTGCAAGAATTCTTAGAGAGCGTGGTTTGATGCCTGACCGTAAAGTGAGTTATATTGTTGTAAATTTTTATTCAGTTTGCAAATTTGTGGGCAAATCCCTAATATTTGGTATACCATGTATCGTATAGCTAGGTACTGTCACCAATGACATTACTGGAGCACTACAGAAAGTAAGACAAGGTCATATTGAGTATAGAATGGACAGAACATCAATTGTACATGTGGGACTTGGAAAGGTACCGTAATCTTATTACAAACACAATGTTCTATTTTTCAGATGTTTGTTTGCTGGAGACATGGATTTCACTTTTATTCGTTCTTTTCAGGTGAGCTTTACAGAGGATTATCTCCGTGAGAACATCGGAGCATTTATGAGTTCTCTTTTGCTGGCAAAGCCTACGGGTTTGAAAAAGTGTAAGTGGCACAAATAACTCGTGTTTCCTATATTGTTGTTTGTGGACTAGACTAAGTAAAGGTGAAGTTTGATCTGAATGTTCAACCATAATTTTACACCCTTGGGTTTCTTTCTCTTTCATTGCTGCAAATAATACACCTCCTAGGGCTGTACATGTTGATTGCCGTGCCATTTATGTGAAATATTTGGCTCTTCTCAACAAGCAGTTCAGCTCGATTTTCTTGTTCAATAAATTAAGCAAACTTGATAGTCAGTCCAGATCCCAAAAAAAAAATTTAATCATGCTTTATAGAATGGATTTTCGTAGTTACGATCTTGGACAAATCTAATTATAGCATGTTCTGCAAAATCTGTTGGAAGAAATGAGCTCATTTTCTTTCAGTGTATCTAATATTTTCCATGCTGCCCACCATTAAGAAGAAAATTGAAGAGTTCTTTAAGATACTGCAAAGAAAAGTTGCGGAAGGAGGTCCGACTGTTCACCAGATGGTGCACTTTTAATCAATTGATGAGAATTAGCGTTTATTAAACCATTTACAAGTTATATATCTATTTTCACGTTTATTAAACCATTTACAATTTTCATTTTCACAGCTTCCAAATATGCGGGGTATATTAACTCCTTCCATATATGTAGCACGGTGAGCTCTTAACCCTTGTTTTTGTATTTAGTTATTTGTACTTTAACATTCGATGCACGGATGCTGCATACTTTAGTTAAATGCAGCCTTTGTATAATTGAACCTAATCCAGTCCGTTATTATGTGCAGATGGGTCTAGGATTTCCGGTTTCAATACAGTCGTTATCCAAAGCTGCAGATCACTACAACAAAGTGCACCTTAAGGCTTAAGTGGCACGCTCTGTTAACATTTTCGACCTAGATCAAAGGTTCACTTTATTTTCCCTGTTAATTTTTACTGTTTTTAGGCAGTGAGGGCTCTCGGAGCGGATGTTGATTGACTAAAATTGAATGGTAGATTGACCGGGTTCCGTGAGTTAATACCTTGTCTTGCTTATATCTGCTGGTCGTCTGGTGCTTTTGCAAAATGGCATTTAGCTCTACTGCTTCATCATCATCAGGATCTTCATGTTTCTCTGCAGTATTTCTGTTTTCCGATTTGGCTGAGGATGTTCAACATACTCTTCTATGTGTAAATGCAATAATGTTATTTGACTATATGGAAAACGTAGAGAGTGAGATGGGTCCTTATCGGTCACTACGAACTTGCTTTTTGACGAGAAATATTTTGCTCACCGTCCGTAAGTGGATGTGATGCTCATCACTCTGTTGAGTATTGTTAGATGAGTTTATATTGCGAGAGTTGTGTAGTAGGATTGAATTAAAATCATGTAACGGTAATTAGTAGGGTGGTAAGAATCACCATCACTTAAAGTTGGTGAGCGAAATGCGCTTTTTACAAGATAGAATAATTTTGGTATTAAATGTGTTCTTTTAGACAAGTCGGAATGGTTGGGTAGATAATTTAGTTGTTTTTTTTCTCTTTTTGACAGAGTGGTCGATTTCTTTCTACATGACATTATTTCTCTGTACAAACGCTATAACTAGAACAACTCATTTTCTTTATTATTAGCTAAAGATCATTTCTAGAAAAGTTGATTTGATTTTGGACCGTCAACTTGGGACAAACGAATTAGCGTTTAATTTCCTTATGAACTATTAATTGCTTAAATAGTTTGTATATTGTTTGAGTTTTTTTCACAACAAAATAAAAAAGAATTTTATAAGTTTCCAATTTTAACATCTGTCCAGTGAATGACGACATTTTGTCATGGAGGAATGATAATTAATTGTTGATAATGTTAACTTTAAATTATCATTCTATAATTCGACACATCAATTAAAATAAAAATTCATACCAACCAATGAAAACACAAAGTAACGTGGTTTTGGTGGGGTCATTTTACTTAAAAAACAGTATAGTGGTCATGGAATGTGGACAGCTGCCAAGAGTGCATGGGGAGAAACATTTCATCAAGTACTTGGTGGGCAACTTCCACATGGTCGCCGGAAGAGCGGCCCAACCATTTTTCTAGCCTTCACGATGTCGCATGACCTCTGGTCCCTGATGACCTTGTCCCCCAAGCGAATACGACCAAAAAAGACAAAAGTTTTATGAATGCAAAGGCTGAATGCCCAATCTTCCTGTTATACTCGTATAGTTTGTCTTCACTAGGAGGCTCTCTTAAAAGTAAGTATCTTTCTATCACCTCCTGAATAGATACACATCTACATTCAGTCTCGAGAAAGCCCTTCTTAGGCCATACTCAATGCTTGAATGCACAAGGCTGAAACTCAAGGCAGGGCAGATAACCTTCTAACCGAGGCCAATAGATATCCTATTTTTTGGATTTCTAGCTAGCTCTCAACCATGCATTCCCAGAAAAAAGAAGATGCATTACGTGTTGTTCTGGTCCGGAAGAAGAGGTTTGGATCAGCAGAACTGGCATCTGTCCGTTGGATCAATTGCAGTGTGAGGGTGTTCGTAGATTAGAGCTCAGAAGATGATTGCCCGGAAAGTCATATTTTTTGCACATATTTTATAATGTTGGCACGAGAATTAACATTAAACTGTGAGATAGCAGGGCATGTTGGAAAATATTAGTATTTTATGGTTTTTTGATTATTTAGGTTTGCTTGTTAGTTTAATTTATGGGCATAACCCATCCAAATTAGAGTTTCTAAGTTTTACTCTCTATAAATATAGCTTATAGTTTAGTATGAATAATAAGTTAGTCATAATGTAACTTCTACAGATTTTGTAGCCGTTAGGTATTTTTGTTTATTTAATAATATTCTTATTATCTCATAATCTTGCTCTGATATTCATCTAGAATTCATAAATGACGTGTTTGTTTGACCTCGTTAAGTTTCACTGGACTGGCTAGAATTACTAGTCAGTGTAATCCCATGTTTGTTTACTGCATGGACTAATTTATAGACAATCAAGCTAAAGGACAGACAGGACACATTATTCTAGACAACTAACGTACTCTCATAAAAGTAAAATGGCCAAAATATCTTAGATATTTTGTCTTCAGCTGAGGTTTTTACTTTATCATCGTATGATGGGTGGGAGGACAGGCGAGTCAAATCAATTATTCATCATTCATTGCAATTATTGATTATGATCAAATAAGAACCCTATGCTTTTTGCAAGTATTAAACTAATAAACACGAGCAAGGCTTGGCCCCTTAAGAACTTCTCCTCTATTCAATAAGTGTTCGATTAACAGAATTTGTGTTTATAATTAAAACTGTTTATGTTATCAATCTTTTTGTAAAGATTATTTAAAAAAAATTAATTAAAACTAAGAATATTTAGTTAATCAATTCCAACTAATAAATAGACGGTTCTTACTATTTTTATTGAAAACACGCATGAATTGTATAAACAGCCGTTGAATATCATCTTTTATGTTCTATTATTTTTGCTTGTCAGGAGCTGCTTGCAAGATTTTAACAATGCGGGCTTCACATATCTATAGAAAAAGAAAATTTGTGGTTAAAAGTTTGGCAAATCATAGTTTTGCTTTAAATCTCCAAAATCATTATTTTGATAATCTTCTTTTTGTTCAAATACTTTTTTCCGTACTCGATTTGAGATGTCCAGTCGTGCACTTTTCAATTATCATTGTTTAATTTTGTTTGGGCTCTAAGCCCCGTTTTCAACCGAAAAATAATAATTGATATTCAAATAGCGACAACTAATAAGAAAGTGAATTGGTATTAGCATTTTAAAATTTTATTTTATACTTTTTATAAATGTATTTTTTCTTCTAATTATAGAAATTTTAGAGTGCCAAATAAGGATCATTTTCGGGTTTTCTTTGTGAAGATTTTAGGATCTTTGAATTACATTCGTTCATTGTATATCGTACGATAAAAAATCATTGTAAATTTTTTTATTTAAAATTAAATATAAATAGTACTTGATCAATACTGACCGCACAATGTATGATGAACGAATATGATTAGATGATCCCGAGATCCTCATAAAGAGGACTTGGAAAGGATCCTCATTCCAATACTACACATTCCAGTGTCAAGTAATTTGTTTTTGAACTGTTTAAACAGTTTTTTCCCTTCTTATAGTTTATGGTATGTTTAGAAGTACTTTTAGATAAAATATTTTTATATTTCAAAAGCACTTGGAGTGTGTTTTTTTTTTTGGAAACTATTAAATAAATACAAAAAATTGAATAAAAATGGAAGTGCATTAATTACAATGGTGCAATTCCAAACTATTATAATAATTGCACTGTTTTCCGCGCCACAATCAAGAAAAATACAAAAACGAGTGAGAGAGAGAGAGAGAAAAACTTCAAAGCTCCAATTTGAGATTCTTCCATCTCCACTGACTTGTATTGGGGATAGGGTTAGGGTTAGGTTTGCCCGTTTGAAATTAATCTGCAGAAAGATGGAGTCGGAAGAAGAGTACAGAAGGAAGGAGCGCATGGCATTGTTGGTGATTGTGGTGCTTGCTTCACTGTCCGTCGCTTCATTACTCGTCGCCTTCAGCTACTACTGCTACGTCCGCAACAAGGTCGCCAAGCGCCTCAAGAACCACAAAGGTGAAAACACTAATGTCTGTTTGTTTACTCAGAAAATGCATGAAAGTGAAAGGAAAAAAACCAGACTTTAAAAAAAAATTTAGTGTTGATTTCTGGGTAGGAGTTAAATTTTTTGTTTATAAGAGTTTTTGAGGTCACCCAGTTAATTACATTTGAATTTTTGTTAAGGAAACGCTTGTTAATTTGATAATTTCTGTTGGGTTTGGTGTGGAAACTTAAATTTAAGGACATAAGGGCAAAAAGTTCGAGTCTTTGATTAAAATTGGGATTTGTCAATTGGGGCTGGACTGTTTTTTGATCTGTGGTTTAATTCTGTTTCTTTGAAGGGTCTGACCCTGAGGACAAAGGTGGTTTTTCAAATTTGCAAGTTGCTTCCAACAAAGGACTTCAGGTCTTCACATTCAAGCAACTACATTCCGCAACTGGTGGTTTCAGCAAGTCAAATGTCGTTGGCAAAGGCAGCTTTGGGTTAGTGTACCGAGGTGTTCTCCATGATGGGAGGAAAGTGGCGGTTAAGTTTATGGACGAAGCAGGAAAGCAGGGAGCAGAGGAATTCAAAATGGAGGTTTGATTCTTAGTCTACATCCTATTTACTTTGGCTCTGTTAGGTTCTGCGAGTGGGAGAAAATGGCTGAAGTTCACAGTTCCATCTTTGTCCCTTGCAAGATGAACATATAGCTCACCTGAAGCAAAGGATTTTGGTAGAATTTGGTTCAAATGATAGCTCATATTCTCTTACCCAAGCCACTGAATAATGCAATTAGTTTTTATTTCCTCACTTTATCCGTCAGCAATAACTGAAAAATTAAATTAGCTTTGCAGATCGTTTATAATTGGTCATTGATTGGCTGATAATTAAATGCAGGTGGAATTGCTAAGTAGGCTGTGCTCTCCATATTTGCTGGCACTACTTGGGTATTGCTCAGATAACAGTAGTCATAAGTTGCTGGTGTATGAGTTCATGGCAAATGGTGGTTTGCAGGAACATTTGTATCCTGTCAATGGTAAGCATAACGTGTCTGGTAGCTCTTTTTTTTTTTTTTTTTTTTTTTTTTTTTTTTGGTTCTTTCCAAATCCTTCTTGTTTCTGATGTTGTATGTTTGTTTGGGCATAGAAAGATATAATGAACACCCACTTCACTTTGCAATTTATATCATATGGTTGTATTTCATCTTTATTATGTGAGTTAAGTCTAAGGTTGGTCTTTCCTACTCGCATTATTTCCTCTACATTCCCCTCCCTCTCTCTTTCTGATCATTGCGTTTCCGTTCCTGTCTGTGTGTGCTTGTGTTTATGTTTGAGAAAACTTGCTGAACCTACATTTCTTTGTTTGCGTATTACATTTACGCAGAGTTTTTGTGCATAGTTTTAATTGTCCTGGTCACTAACAATTGCTTTCTGAATGTCTGTTGGATTAACCACTTGGGTTCATTTCTGCAGGTTCTAATGCTGTCTCCTTTAAGTTAGACTGGGAAACCCGGTTGAGAATAGCTCTTGAAGCTGCGAAGGGTTTGGAGTATCTCCATGAACATGTCAGTCCTCCTGTGATTCACAGAGATTTTAAGAGCAGCAACATTCTCTTGGATAAAAACTTTCATGCCAAAGTTTCTGATTTTGGATTGGCCAAGCTGCTTGGATCTGATAAAGCTGGTGATTACGTTTCCACCAGAGTATTGGGTACACAGGGATATATTGCCCCCGAGTAAGCACTTCGAAACTTTTAGCTGCAATGTGCATATTGGTTGATTTGTACCATAAGAACTACCCTTTGTTGAATTCCCATCATATTTTGAAATATTTTCCATGGAATAGCAGCTTTTATTAATTCGGTTGCAATCCAGGTATGCATTAACAGGGCATTTGACAACTAAATCAGATGTTTACAGCTATGGGGTTGTGCTTTTGGAGTTGCTTACAGGCAGAGTTCCAGTTGATATGAAGAGACCTTCTGGCGAGGGTGTTCTTGTTTCTTGGGTGGGTTTCCTAGGTCTATTTTCAGTTCTTGCAATAGAATTACTCTTTACCCAATTCATTCTTTGATTCATCCCATATTTTACCTGGCATTGTTTCCTTCACATTATTTTCCCATACTTAGATTTCTTTTTTGTTTCTTTTAAACATTCTATACTGTAGGCATTGCCCCAGCTGACAGATAGGGAGCAGGTTGTACAAATCATGGATCCTGCATTAGAGGGTCAGTACTCAATGAAGGAAGTCATTCAGGTGGCAGCAATTGCTGCAATGTGCGTGCAACCCGAAGCCGATTACAGGCCGCTGATGGCAGATGTTGTGCAATCACTGGTACCGCTTGTGAAAGTTCACAGGTCAACTTCGAAGGTAGGCAGCTCATCTAGTTTTCATGCTACAAAGTCACCTACAGCGCAGATTAGTAAAGCAAGTCTATGAAAGTAATTGAAGACACGCGTAAATCACCTACTGAAGGTGGTTCCTAAGGTAGCTAAGATTAGATTATGTGTAATCTCATCATCAGTCCTGTAAGTTTTTTTGTAGTCTCTGCTAATTTGATCGAGGAAGAATGTAGATTGAAGTAAATAGAATGTCATCCGAATTATGAACCTAGCTAGCAGACATGGTCGACTTAAGAAGGCTCCTTATGTAGTAGATGATTAAAACTCTCTCTCTCTCTCTCTCTCTCGTGATTTCTGTGTTTCCATTTTCTTTCTTTGGAGTTCTTGGTCTAATATGATGATGACACGCAGTTTATGAGGTTTTGACTTTACCGAACTGTGCCGGAAAGATGGCTGGGAAGCTATTTTTCTTATGCAGGATGGAGGAAGAAACTAGAGGCAGGTCTCCCTTTCGACCTTCCGCACTCCACCCTTAAATTTTGACCCTGGAATTTATATTTTATAATATTTAATTCAAAATATTGAAATGAAAAATGCATAACCGTTTGAAAGGGATCCAGGCATTCCTTGGTAAACCGTATCATCTAATAGATGAATGTTTGTATCTCTTAATCAACCAGTATCTTAGGTTTATATAAACTCACGTTAGTATAGCCGTGAGATAAATAGAAGAATTAAAAAATAGAGAAGAGTTTTTCTCCAAGGTCTTTTATATTCAAATTTCGAGTCGTGTCTTGAGAGTACGGAATATATGAAGTTTGTCAGAGTTTGAAGATTGAAGTGCTTCGACTTCAGATTATAGATTGTTAAATTCTGGGAGACGGACGCCTACCGAACTACAAGCCAAGAGTACGGGGCGAACTTTTGTCTTTAGGACATTACATTTATGTAAGTCTCAATCTCCAAGTTTTGATAGTTTTTCTAATTTTCACTCTAGTTGTTTATATTAATCTTATACATAATTAATGTTGTGAATCATTTTATAATCTATTTTATTAAGAGAAGAGGGTTTGTCAACTTTTTGCCCCTTTTTTTTTCAATTTTGCCCTCACTTTTGAATACACAATGTTGACATGAGGAGGGTAAAATAGTAATTTTGTATCTTTTGATAAAATGACAATCATATTCTCATTTTTTCTATTTTGCCCTCACTTTTGATACACAATATTTACATAAGAAGGGCAAAATGGTAATTTTGTATCAAAATATTTACATAAGATAAAAATATGCACTTATTAAGAGAAATTGTCCCACCATTATTTTTTCATACAGGTAAATGAAATCATGATGTTTTTTGGATAGTTTGAATGAACTGAAGCAGTTATGCTTGAGGAGAACGTGAGAGGAGGTGAGCGGTTGTTCACACACACAAAATATATGATCTCTTGTAATTCTTATTGTTATTTTCATATTTTTTTAATATTGCTCTAAAAGATTCTCCTTTTATAAATCAAGCTCTCGCTCTATAGCCTCTATAGATCAACAGATACCTGTGCACTTTTCACAAAATCTCAGCCTCACATTCGTCTTCTCGCTAGATCTCTTGATTCTCTCTCATTGCACTTGTCACGCAATTTTCATCTTCTTTATGGAATTTAGGTCTTCCTCAATTGTTTCCCTTTAGCTGCAAGTCCTTAATTGCAAGCGTTATTTTTTTGACTGGCATGAATTCTTTTTTCCCATGGAATTAGCAATTTTATGGATGAGAAAAATGGAGAGAAAATAGCGAGGGGCGGGTTTGTGTTTGTTGATTTGATCAAGAAATCGATGCTTTCCAAATATTTCTCTGGTTTGAAATAATATGTTTATGATTTATGTAATTTCTTGTTGGAAAATCAATTCAATTACAAGTGTCAAACAGGCTTTGTCCGACCTATTTAAAGCTGGTTCATGCCTGCTTGGCCGTATTCAAGTCGACCTACTTAATAAATAGCACGAGCGGACTAATAATGTTTCGTATAAGACTCTCCCTCTGTTGATGGCATGCCAACTTCCTTATTGATTGTTGCGAAATTTAAACTAACTGAAATTAGTCTAACTTAGTTTCAAATTTTATGTTTGCAGGTGTACGAATCGTTCGATAGTATAGAAAGTAAGTACTTAATATCGTCCCACATAAATTAATCTAATTCTAAACAACTAACTTAAATCCAATTGCAACGTAGTGAAATTTAACAAAGATTGATAAAAAATGATGGTTTTGAGAGTTGATACTAAAAGTAAAAGAAAAAATGAAAACAAGAACGTGTGATCACAACGCAAAAGTGGCAGCCAAGAAAACAAGTTGTAATTCAATCGAGTGAAACACTAAAGCGTCCGACTCACTATAATCAATCCTACTTATTTCTTGTAACGAATTATTAGCAAGAACTCAATCTCATTGATAGTCAAATTTCTATAACACATGTAATATCTATGGCATCTAGACTATTATGTATATCCCAATTTGCAACCATCCATGGCATCTGGATTAGTTTAACATAATGAAACTCAATACGATCAATGGAAATTTATTTAAAGACTACACAAATCCTGGAGTATGGCATCTACTTCTAGGTAATTTATGGTATCTATTTGCAAGAAACTATTACTCAAGTTGAAAACATGGCATCTACATAACTTGCATCACATTTACTAAGTAAAAGTCAATATGGTAGCTAATCACCAATGCTAAAACCAAGCATATAAGCACAGCAAACGATACTCAATGAAAATTGAAAACTTGAAAATAATTCAATTCAGAATTTAAGCATTCATAGTCAAGGCTACATCATAGCCCTAGCTATGAAAAATTAGTTCCGAAACATAATAAAAAATATTATTGAATTCATAAAATTAAAAGAAAACTAAGTTTAAAAAAGCCTGAAAATCTCTTGCTTTGCCGCTACCTTCTTCCCTTTGTCTCTGCTTCTTCGAATCTTGATCAGTTCTCTTTTTTTTTTTCCTCCCCCTCCTCTTTCCTTTTCCATAACCAACAAAGGTTTTAAAACCCATTAATTGGCAAGCATGAAGAAGAGAAATGGAAGAAACTTTTAACTCCTTCTCATTGATATCTCACTGCCATCACCCCTAGCCTTATACCTCTGAATCAATTCATTGCAGTAGTAGGCCTCCTTAATTTACCTCTTCAATGCTCTGCTAAGTGTTTAATGACAGTCACATCTCCAAAATGGACATCCACCAAATCTGCACTTGGCCAATCTCCACAACAAATCATAATCATCAAATAAATATCTCATGTTCATACTTTTGCTTGAAACCCTCAAACTGGAATTTGATCTAGGAAGCTGGATTTCCATCTCTCTTTTTTTAATCTTATCGTCTAATGCCTCTTGCTCTGCTACAATTGTATGTGGCGGCTTGCTCCAGAAAAAATTGGATTAGGCCTTTCTTTTCTCTGTCGGTGCAGATGAGAGAATAAGGGCAGCCTTTGTGCAATTGAATACATCACTTGCAAATGGTCTAAAATATCCATAATATTTCGATATTTTCATTGAAATTTCAGTGTTTTTGGACTACCGATATTTCCGATATCATCGATATTTTAGACCTTGCTAAGTCACTCATGTATCTTATCCTGCAATGTATAAAGTGTAAATATTATACTAATTCATTATATATAAATGATTATGGTGTGTTTAAACTTCTTTCATTAATTACTACATATTTTCTACACTCATAATGTTTGCCAGCTCGCTATATAATCAACTTAAATCATTTATATCTATCATGCAATGCATTTCCTTCTAATTTTTTGTGATAAACTAATAGATAATTGACTAAATAAACATCCTGCAAGGTTTCAATAAAAATTTCCAAGTTTTTCTTACAATTTCCGTGGTTTTTATTCAATTTTTATGGATATCGATAATATCCCGATATTTCCATCGAAATTTCCGTGTTTTTGGACTACCAATATTTCCGATATCATCGATATTTTATACCTTGCTTTATGTGTTTCCACATTTTGTTGACTTGTCAAACCTCCTTTCAATGTTCCTCGTCAAAGTAGAAAATCTAGATATGATTTAAGTGAGAGTGAGTTTAGCTTTATAATAAGGGATTTTTAACGAAAAGTTTTCGGTACTGTTTATTTTAACGAAAAATCACATTTTTAAACTAAAAAGTCAATCTTGATACTATTCACTTTATCCTTTATTTTGTTTTTATCTTTGAAACTCAAAGTTTTCAAGCTATTTTCTTTAGTTTTCCTTTATAATAATAGAGCCTCACAAAATGTTAACTAGTCCTCTCTTTGTGCAAGCCAATTATACAGTTCCATTCTCTTAAACAAAAGATAAAGACATCCTTGCATTCAAAATACGAATGACAATGGTTCCATTTGACTCAACAAAATCATATAAATGTAATGCAATTTAGTCATCTCCTTTGCCTAACCATAAAGCCACAATAAACGTGTAAATGTTTTCATTTAAATCCAACATGTCACAAGAAAAATACAATTTTTAAAGTAAATAAATAGTAAAATATGCGATCATCATTAGCGTATCCTCCAACTTTCAATTAACATCATCAAATTGATTTTTTTATGGTAAACAACGACGCTAAACGTCTAAAAAAGTGGAACTAAACAGCAAAACATCACGAGGTCTAGAGATCACAATAGCGTTCAACGCCAAAAGATAACGGCAAGAGGCAGTCACTGTGTCGTAGCCAAAGGCTATTGGAGCCATATTTTTGGCCATAGGAGTCCTATTTAAGTATTTGGCTTCGAATAACTCCAAACAATCCAATCACATGTGTTGGTGGCTTATGTCAAATAGGCCTCTTTGAAACTGATTTTGTGCAAGTCTTCCCTCTTGTAATGCGATTGGAAAATAAAAGCATTTTTGTCGTTATCTTGCTTCAATAAAGGCTATCTTCTTGATTGATGATGAGATTTTATCATGAGATTTCAATGGGGATGTCAAATTTGTTTTTTCTTTTAATACGTACGATATTATCTATATTAAGATCATCTCCAATCTTTGGAGATAAAGTTTAAAAATTTAAGCCATAAAATTTTAAGCTATAACTCAGAAATTGTTTTTCTCCTCCAACCATTATGGTTTAAAATTTTAGCTCGAGATTATTAAATGATGATTTTAGATTATTTTTTTTTCGGTAACTTTTTTGAAAATAAAATTTATGTATATTATCTTAATTTATTTTTATGGACATTTTAATATAAAAATATTTAAATTCCGATAAGTAATTAAAAATTATACAAATACATAAATATTTATAAAGTTTGAAGTAAAATTTGATTTAAATAAT